GACGGCGAATAAAGGTCTGTTATTGGATTTAACCGACTGGCTTCGGGTTATTCAGCTAACCCCCACACCACACGCTCGCTGGACCTGCTAGCCGCTCCTTACTCGCCAGACTGCTGTTACATTCAGTTGTTGGAGACTAAACTTCGGTCAAAAAGACCCACAAACACACAGGAGCTGAAAGCTGCTGCAGTAAAGGCCTGAGAGAGAGAAGGAAACCAGCATCTGGTGATGTCTGTGAGTTTAAGACAGTCAGCAAACCCAGCAAAGGGTTTTCAACAGAGTATTAGAAATGAACACTTATTGAATCTGTGTGGGGATGAAGGGATTGTGTTAAACATGCTTTAGTTCCTCACATTTTAATCCAATCTTTTTGTCCAACCCACTGAGTTAAAGCTGAAGCTCTGCATCTGAGCTGTTTCATTTAAAATGTATTGTGTTGATGCACAGAACCAAAAACAGTTGTCTGTGTCCAAATATTTATGGACCTGACTGTGTTTAATCTGTATCAGGACCTTTATCCGTATCTGTATGTGTGCCTGTACCTTTATCAGCATCAGTATTTGTACCTGTATCAGTATCAGGGCTGAAACCTATCACAATTTACTGTAGTGAGTAATCAGGCTTTCTCTGGAGTGGGTGGAGGTGACGGTGCTGTGAGTCTGCATCGCCTCACTGAACAGAAATCTGACCTTCCACATGCTGTTCAGGTCATTAGAAGAAAAAATATATTTTTAGTAAATGAAAGCTGACGTTTCAATAACATGAAGAAGTGAGAGGGCGGCCGATTGTCCTTTGGTGGAAGAGAAAAGCTGTGGCCTGTGTTTCTGAACGAAGCCCAGAGGTCTGTCCATGACAGGAACGCTTCAGTCTGAGGCTCTCTGATGATGAAGAGCACCGCTCTGCTTCATGTTCACGTCTGACTGAAGCTCGTTCAGAGCAGCAGCTCTCAGGTCAACCTCGCAGCCTTTTTCTCTCGGTGAGTAAAGATGCCGTCTGTCTGTGTCTAAAGTCTGGAGCCGTTTCAGACTTTCATGCTGATGTTCGGCTCGAACAAGCAGGAGATTTCTGAGGTTTTCTCATAAGTCCGTCTCTGCTGGTTTGTGGATTCCAACATCAAAGCAGGGCAGCAACACGAGTCCAGCTCAGAGAAGACTCAGTGAAAACAGCGACACCTACTGGACACTTACTGTGGTCACATGTGATGATGCCGTTGCTGTTCTACTCTTCTCTCTCATTTTTAGTTCATGGACAACAAACTAGCTTATAGAACAAAACATATTAAGAAGGCTGCTGTGTTTATGGTGCTCACCACACGGGTCTCACAGATAAGCCCTGAGACATCTTTCATCTGTGCTGGACTGAAGTGTGAGTGAATGCAGATCGATATGCTGATGGGAAATAAAGATGGATGAATGAAATGCAAAAACCTCCCCATGTGTAAAGATTTTTAATTTAAAACATTTTATGTAAAAATCTATTTTTATATGGTTATATAATTATTCTTTATAAACGGCCTCCCCAGCCTTGGGGACTCGTTCATCACGTGTGTATACGTGGTATTTGTTTGCCAGCATACAGCGCTTCACTACTGCTAAA